AGAAGCTCAATTTATGTCTTTTTTTAAAGGGCAAGAATCATACTATCACATTAGGGATCAGATACTTTGGTGGCTGTCTGATCTGACTTTTTGTTAATGATTTTAAAATAGTGGTGTCATGGATGGCCTGCCTTTATGGAACTACACCGAAAAAGAGGAAAGACAATTCAATATGGTTAATGTTATTTTTTAATTTCTTATCTGTTCCAGTAACAGTTGCCATCAGTGGTAAAATGTGCTTGTACTTCCAGTTTGAAAATTAACTGCTTTCGGAGTACAACCACCTGATTTTGTTAAATGCTTTGCACTGCTAGATAAAAGAGCTTGTTGACATTGTAACAGCCTCTTGTAGCTAACTACAGATTATTATCAGGAGAAACAAGGTTAAGTTACCTCTAACCTTCCTGAAAGACCCTCGCCTCCATTTAGTGATGCAATGATTGCAAGGCACGATTTTCAGATAATGAAAAATCATTGTTGCATGCTTTCCAAATTCAGCATCTTATATTTTAAAGCCTGGTCACCAGAAATGAACAAAGCAGTTACTTACCCATTAACATAGGTAAGATAAATGCAGCCTCTGACTTCCTAGTGAGTAGCCTGCTGTAGGAAAATAGGTATCTTTCAGCATCCTTAGGAGAAGTAGTGATAAATGTCATTCTGATATGAATATGAAAACTAGCAACATGATGAACTGAAAGCAACATAAAAGAAAAAGGCATTTTAAGGCATACATCTCTGTGCTTTCAGTTATCTTTAAGAATAGAAATTGGAGTGTACTAAAATGCTGCGTAGGAAATTATAATTAATCAGTGGAAGTGTACAAACTTGAGTATTTATCACAACAATTTTTTAAATGGAACTATGACTTTTCTTTTGTCTCTTACTTACCTAACACTGTTGCTGTTACACACTGTTTTCCGAGTTTGGGGTTTATTTGCTTGAAATGCCTGTTGCTTTATGTATAAAATGTAATCTCTATAAATTCAGTGATCAGAGAAAATATTGGTAATTTTTCTGTAGTTTGTTTCTGTTTTCCTCTTTCTCATCTTTACTTGCCCCAAGAACATGCCTGTATTTTCACCCTCCCCCCCCTTACTTCCCTTCCGCTCCCACGACCAGGTCACAGTAGAGAAGGTTACTCCTTCAGGAGAGGACCTTACTAAACTAGTAGGCCTTAAACGTGAGTCTACGATGCTGTCTGGACTCTTCTTTACCACAACACTTTTGTGAACCTTTCCCACTCCCTGAAGCAGAGAGCATCACCTCAGCTTTTATTATCCATAGTTTATGGTTGTTTTGGCAGATAAACAATCTTTTACCAAACCTAATCTAATCACCCAGAGACTTGCAGATTAAAGGAAAGAATTTTTAGAGGATCTTACAGAGATATGGGTCTGCTTCTTTTCACTGGAGAGAACTGCTGGTGTGTTGTGCCCATGCTGTGATGGTTATTGCATCTCTCAGGCATCATGCCTCATAGATGTCAAGCACCAAGGTGACTAAAGACTGGCCTACAGTGGTAAAGTATGTAAGAAGTGAAGAAACACAGGAATGTTAGAAAGTGCTTCTTGCTTCTAATTTGAGGACCAAGCAGTAATTCAGCATGGCTTGGTGGACTCACATGTTTTGCTGTGTTTGTGATGCAGAAAAATGAGTAATGGACAACATGCTTTTCAAACTGATGAGTTTCCCAACCTCATCCCTAGTGTCTCTCTGGCGCCTCCTTGTTCCTACTGCTACCAAACCCAATGGCTTGACCCTGACAGAGCCTGTGCTGATACAGGTCATGGACCCCCAGGCTGCAAACCATCTTTCGCAGCAACTAGTGCTATCTGACTCTGCAGTCTCATATATCCTTGACAGCAGTGATTTTGGCTCATGATCTCCATTTGTAAAAGCCCTAGGTGAAACAAAGAGTATTCCCCTTGACTCCTTATCACTTATTAGAGATCAGTGGTGGGAGACAGGCTATAGACAAAGTCTGCAAAGGAGACAGTAGCTTATCTTTGTCTCAAACAGAGCCAAGAACAATATATCAATATCCATGCATATTTAACTCTAAGGACTGACTCAGGATTTGTCTTTCTGAGGTGTAATTTTGGAAGTTGAGGTATGGAAGTAATTTTTCTACAATAAAAGTAGCTGCTGTCAGAAGGTAATTGGTAGCCCTCTTGTTTTGCCTGTATTTTTGCTGCTTGTAGGACAGGTTGCTGAAGCCTCATTTAATGTTGTTATGTTACCATGACACATATACGAATATAGAAGCACTGTTGTCAGGGTGATGTAGCCAAATTATTACTACCCTGTTTTTCCAGTACTTGTTTAAAAAGATCTAATTTTTGTTAATTAGATATTATAATATCTAATATAATATACCATTTTAAATATTGAAGAAAATAGTCAAGTGATCATATGCAAATTCACATAAACAAGGTAGTATGAATTGAATACATAGCACTGAAAATAGATTTGTCCTTCAGGTTCTGCTAGGGACAATGCTGAGAAAGGAGGAGAGAGTTTTGTAATGATGAGAATCACTTTGGTATTATTACTTGAAATAGCTGCAAGCCGAAGCCATAAATAATAATAATCTTCAAACTGGAGAGGTTGAAAGCTTCGAGAAGCCAAGAATGACTACAGCTGCCTTGAGTGATGGTGGAACAAAGCCATATAGTTGTGAATAGTTTATGCAGATGAAATAAAATCATAGAGTCAAAATGTGCAGTCATCAGGTTTTAGATCCAAGAAGCAGGTGGTACATGTCTATCTCAGGATTTTGGAGGGGTTCCCTGGCATCAACCATCTCAAAGAATCATACGCTAAAGCAACAGTTTTGACATCTACAATTAGATAACACAAGGGCACCATCACTTCAAACACAGAATTATTCCTTGTCTGTGGTCTTCTCCAGACATTCAATGAAGCAGATTGTTCCTGTTTTAAAATAATGCTTCAGAACAAAATGCCACTTTTCCTGGAAGTGCTAAATGGAAGCTAATGACAGAGAGGAAATGATTTCCAAGTTTTACAAGTGGCAACCATTACCAAGGATTCATGAGCTTTTCAAATCCATTTTTATTTACTTTAAGTCATGGATTGTCAAGAACTGGGCAACAAAATGTGTAAAGAATGTGGCCAAGGTAGTCCACGGTTCCTGAATTATTTATGACCTGGTCATAGCATTTGCAGATCTCTTTACTGTTTGGGTTTTTTTTTAAAATCTGCATTAAAAATTTCACCAATAATATTTTGCTTCTGTATTCCTAGAATAAAATTACCACTTTAATTATAAATGCGTTAATAGCCCTGCAGTTTCAGTGGTAACTTCGTGACATTGCAGTGTGATGGGATTTCTTAAATTCTACTGATTTTCTTTTGGGCCTCAGTACCTCCCTTAGCCCTGTTCTGCAGGGCTTCTATTTCTATTACTTCTAACACCTCAAATTTGAGAGAAAGGAACATTTTAAGAAGAAGAAACATCAGCAATATTGAATAAACAATGACTTTTGAGATATTTGAATATTTTTCTATAGGAAATGAAAAAAATTAAAATACCATGTATATTGAGCCTGTATCTGAAAGTGACTCTGTTTCTTCTTGGCTAAAGGAGAATTTTACTGATAAACTAACAGTTTATATGATCAATTTTCTCTTTTCCACTCCTAAGAAATAATTGAAATACATACATATATTTATGGTCCAATGCAGCATTGAGTCTAGAGAACATCAGCAGAGCAGCTGCCTTTCCATTTTCCCCTTCAGTTACCATCTTAAAAAATGCATAGCAGATACTAAGTCAGTGTAAAATGGTATGCTCAGGCACTGATTCATCTTCTTTAAGTGCTTTCACTATAAATTCTGTTATTAGAAATTAAAATCTTGGTATGCTGTCACTTCAGTCCACGTTCATTACCTGCATGCCGATCATTAGCTATTCACTGCATGTGTGTGTTTAATAACCATTCTGTAATGCTGCCTTTTTGTTCATTTTTAATGGTTTAATTATTCTATTTGGAAATGAGTAAAAGTGCCAAAAGGTTAAAGAAATGGCTACTTCATTATTTAAGTAATGATTGCTCATCACTGGTCAGACAAGTGGGTTCGGATTCAGGTGACCACATGTCAATATCTACAGTTTTAACAACTGTATCTAAGCTAGTTCTCCCAGTCTCCCTTTATAGACAATGGAGAGAAAAAAAACATTTTTAGAATGCAATGTCATCCCAAATTAAGCTTCTAAGATAGGTGATTTGCACCTTGGAAATGCTAGTTTCAGTTGGCTGTAAATGGAAACAAGTGTGACTAGCTTAGATGTTTTCTGTGTAGATTTCCAAAGGCAGATGAGATGAATCCCATCCCTGTGCTCCAATTAATCATTAATGCCCACAGGTTTTGTGTGATGACACTTCCAATGTGAAAGTGCTGTGGCTGTGTTTTTTGATGTAAAGGACATAGTGCTATTCAGTGCTCTGCACAGATGAGCGAGTTCTGTTCAGCACAACCACCAAAGGCAGTACACTGATGTTAGGACTACATTTCAAATGGATTAGATTGTCCTGCTGTTCACCTTGGCTAAGTAGTGCCAGAGTATTATCACATCCACATTCTTTCCAGAATGGATCAGTTTGAGGAACAGCATTAATACTTTGTATGTAGCCATAGAGAGGTGGTGTTTAGTATTTCTGATGGAAAAGTAATGGTCTTGACCAAATTAGGTCTTGCTATGCAAAGGAACATATAATATATTACAAATAATAATAATAATACCTATTTTTGCCTCAGCAAGCTCACAAGGAGCTAGTTTATAAACAATGAAAAGAGAGTAGCCTGAATGGAAGCTGTATTATTTAGGAATGGCACATAGCAAGGGCCTCATGCATTAAAGAGGGTTGGAAAAGGTGACAGATTATATTGAATGCTGAGAGACATTTTAGGTTCTGCAGTTAATTTAGGACGTTGCCTTAATGGTGATTTTTCCTGTGGGTTTTTCCCCTTAGGATGATTTCCAGCATGCAGCTTCAGAAACCAACTGGGAGTCAGTCACAAGCTCTGTCTCAGTAAGTAATTTGTTACTATTTTGCCCATGGATGGGGTGATAGGAATCCAACTCACTAAATGGCACCTATACAGAGGAACCATATATTCACCTTTGACAGAGGAGAGATGAAATAAGTGTTTATCCAACTTAACCAGTGTGTTTTGAAGGAGAAAAGACTGAGGATATTCCATCAGCTGTTGTAACCACATTAGATAGCCACTGGGAAATATTTCTTGCTTTCAAGCTCATGCTGCCAAGATGAAAATACAAGATACAAACTCCGTATAATTTTCAGTTGTAAAATGTCTTAAACTAAATAGAAGACTATACTAAAACAGGCTGTCACGAAAATTATTCTAGCTTTTCATTGTCAATAATGAGCAACTTGATAGAGTTGAAAATGCCCCTGCTTATTGCAAGGGGGTTGGACTACATGGCCTTTGAAAGTCCCTTCCAACCCAAACTCTCTATGATTCTATGATTTTTTTAAGTGTTTGTAATGAAGTCAGTGTGGCATCAGAATTCATAATATGGTCAGTTCTTTCCTATGTGCTCTGCTGGCTGGTCAGCACTATGTCACAGCTCTTGTAAGAGCCTCTTAAAACAAGAGATGAGGGTAAGTAAGTGCTCAAAGCAGACTTGAGACCAATGTTTGGAGCTTTCATAGAGGAGGGTTTAGTGGTAGTGCCTTTGTTACAGTAGCTGCCAGGAGTTGCCACTGGAGGAGCAGTAAATAAAATACTGGCAAATTCTACTGATTAGTGTGCAAGCCAGGCAGCAAGTAGAAAGAAGATTCTGTATTGCCAAAATTAGAAGAGTTTAATCCAATCTCACTTGTATTTACCCTTGAGCTTGCAAATAACACTTGCACTTCGTGATGCAATGCATTTATAGACTTGAACTGTGTTGAAAGTCCTAAGTAGTAATATTAGCAGGGTTGAGATCTACTGGATGTTTCAAGCAGGAGATGTCAAAACACTGTGTTACTGAGAAACAAGAACTCATTTTTCATTCTAATATTGGGCTGGAAAAAAAATAATCTAGAATATTTTGTTTAAAAATATGGTAGGCTGATATTTGAAAATGTAAGCCTAGGGCTCCCTCATCAGGTAACTATGAAAATGAGATCAAATATATGGTGCACGCCATGTTAGTTACCAACCTTTAACACCGTAAGACGCAAAACACACCAGATAGATATGATATTTTCATATCTATATAGAAGTCCATTTATCTTTCACATCTGTTTGTTACTGAAAAGTTGTTAATGTGTTACAGATAGGGTAGTTCAGTACAAATATTACAGATAACATGCTGATGCCCAAGGCCACTTGGAAACCTACAGCTAAACCAGAAGCAGAACCGCAGTTTCGTTGGTTTTCCCATGCTGTCCCCTACCTAATAAAACATATCTTCTTCCACTGCACATCCATGGCACCCGCTATCCTTTTCTTATCCTCAGGTACAATAAGTTAGAGAGGTTGAGCACAATGAAAAAAAGTCTGAGGACATCCAAATTCTTCAGGACAGAAAAGTTCAGGAATTCTGCTGTGGTCCTGAGGAGCAGAAGGACAAACTCAGACCTGCCAACAAGTTGACATACTGTTGTGCTGATACTCAGTTTGCATGGCAGTTTTGCTCCTCAAACCCACAGGGAACCCAAAGACTCATTTTAGTGTCTGGGTACATTAGAACTCTCGGAATGAGAGGGAGCAAATTATTTCTTGTCAGCAGTCATATCACAGAGTCATATTTGTAGGGGGGTTTTCTTTTGGTTTTTTTTTTTTTTGGTTGGTTGGTTGGGTTTGGGGTTTTTTTCCCTCAGAAAGCTAAAACTAATAGTTTTGACCATAACCCAGCATGGCAAAGTCAGAAAAAAAAAAAAGGAAATAAAATTTACTCCTTATTAGGAGTAAATTTCCATTGCCTGTGAAGTAATGTTATGACCAACAAAGAGCTGTGATGCACATTGCACTGCCTGTCAACCTCACATTAGAGATAGAAAATAGAAAAGAATGGGGGAGGAGAAATCAAGAGTAAGAGCACTGGGAAAAAAAAAAAAAAAAAGATACCTTTGTTTCCCATGAAATTGAAAATACTTTCAGCACTTCTAAGAAATGTAGACGTACATAATGTGGAAAATCTTTACTCTTCACTGTTCTTCACTGCTTCTTGCATTTCACTCCTCCTCTTGCCTTGTTTCTGGATGTGATCTTGGAAGCCAGGTTATGGTGAGCACAAGCTTTTCTAAAGCTAGTGCTCGTTCTTGGCAGGACAGAAGAGAGGCAGTTGTCTTGGCAGCCTTGAAGTTGCTTTTAGGCCTGTCACATGGCATCACTGCTGGTAGGTTATCTGAGCTGTTGAAATAATTTCTCTTGACTAGACTGTCATAGAGAAGAAGCTAAGCTTTCTTCTGTGTGTGAATGAGGTAGCATGAATCTCTTGCGTAGGAGCTTTTATATGAAAAGAAAATGGGGAATTCCTGACCCTGCAAATTTACAGCCTGACCTGCAGTTCTATAATTTAGTGCATAGTTGAAGACATGGAAAAAAAACTCTTGCATCATCTCAGCCACACACCTATGGCCTGATTTTTATGCTGCTGTGTCTTGAGCATCCTTGCACCATCTCACTCTTTTTTTAAAGGCAGTCAGGGCCTGACATTTCCCTATTGGGCTGCAGTCACAGATGAACCATGAGCTCCACAGAGCTCTCCTCAGTAAGCAATAACATTTGGGTCCATTTTTCTTTTGTAACCTCAAAGAGTGCATTAGCACAGCACAGTGTCTCCTGCAGCATTGTTTTAGATAACAACGCTGTGTTCACTTGGCCGGTATGAGCTTTTCAACTCTTTGAGCTCCTGTGTCTCTGGCAGTCTCTACTCCAAGCCACTTGGAAGTCTGGAGAGATGCTTCGAGGTATGTCTTCCCTTTTAGTGGGTCATGAATTTTTACAGCCATCTGCACTGTCTTATTTAGCACTATATTGTAGAGGCATTTCAGTCACAAGTGGGCCCTCTGAAACTTCTTGTGCTGTTGGTGATAAGCCGTAAAGCACACCTATGCTTTATTGACCGCTTGATTGTAATGTTTTCTATTTCTTCTCTTCCTTTTTTAAATAATTTGAACTGTCCATGCTTTCAGCAAACATACGCAGTAAAATATCAAGGGTCATTACTTTTGTGATATAACTTACCATTAAAGACAACTGGTTTATTTTAAAAGACATATATGCTTTAAAACTATTCTAGTAAGCTTTGAAGGATACAATCTTGAAAAAAGTAAGTAACTTTACTCAAATGAGTTGACATTTCATTACTACCCAGCTGAGTGAAGTTGATCATAAAGATCAATATTTAACATATTGCATTTACTTGGGAAAAAAATATTTTGGGGGGCAATAATCTTAAATGTCATGTTTCTGCTACTTTACTTCAAAGATGGTTTTTAGTAAGTGGGTTTCTAGGGTTTTTTCCCCCAATGTTTTTACTCACAAGACCAAAATTCAAACAAGTTTTGCTCTTTTTTATGTTTCTTCTTGGACAAAATCATGTATTTTGGTTGTGGTCCTTCAGCAAGTAACAGATCTGCATTAATAGTTTATCTTGCACGTATTTTACACATACTATTAGGCTTTGTGCTTGGACAAGGGATAAAGTGATATCAGGGTAGTGAATATTGTGATTCTAACTAATGATTATCAAAAACGTTCGAAGTCCTCTCCAGTAAAATGAAAGTGCTGCAGTCTTTCTGGCAAATTCAAGTTGTGCCACTAGTTCAGTGGGAACCAAATATACTCAGAAAATGGCCCTTCTTGGTGGGAAATAATATTCCATTTGGTATTATGTTATAATTGTAAGGATACCACTATGGTGGCATTCACAATATTCATTGTTACACCACTGAGATCCAAACATCACACTTCTCATTTGCTTAGTAACTTGTATCTTTGGTAATAATGTGGGAGGATTGATGTTCATCAGCGTTTCATAATACATTTAATTCTTGGGAGTAAAGGGCCATCTTTTCAAGTCTTTAACCAAGCCAAATTTGTTATCCAAACTGACCAAGGAAAGAAGGGAGGTCTAGTGGACTTGTTGCCATTGTCTTTCTCTGCTGTGGTTTCACATCTGCCTGTTATGGATTTCCTAACAGAGCTGGCAGAGCCATGAGGACTCCACTTCAGCACTACAAGGCATCTCTGTTCTTTGGTCATGGCCATCACAGTGGTTTCAAAAGATATTTCCATTACATCTTTGTGTATGTGCTAACTATCATCTCCTTTGAGGAGTGGGTGTGCATGTTGACAGACCAGCAGTGGCAGTGCTTCCACCCTCTGCATCTCCTCTGGGATTTGTTTGGACAAGAAAGACACCGCCTTGGTGTCTTTTCCCCTTACAAAAAGAAAACATAGATATAACACAGCCTAGCCCACCTAAGGACTTCAAAAGATGGCCCAAAGTAGCTGTTTCAGTGAATAACAGGTTTCTCAGTAACTGTTTTGAATTGTTATAAGTGGTGCTATGATTTGTTCCAAGTACACTGAGATGTATGTCACTCTTAGGGGGTATCCTATCCCTCTCCATCAGTGACTGATCCTACCCTCACGGCAGAAGCACTGGATCAGACCATTGCTGCATTTGACACAGTGGAGGATCTGCTCAAACACTTTAACCCGGACTCCTGGCAAGAAGATCTTGAGAATTTGTACACAGAGAGTGGCCACCATTATCGAGGCAGGAGCTACCATGACAGGAAGTCCAAAGGTAGGAAAAGACACTGTATACATTATTTGGGGCAAGACCAGGATATTCTTTCACTTTTCATAGAAATGTCCATTAGGCAGGTATTAGATTTTGGTGCCCATGTTCCTGTTGGATTCTCAGGGCAAAGTTCCACCTATTAAAACCAGGGATAAGTTATATAAGATACAGGATAAATCCTTAATCATTTTCTAACTGAGTAGCATCTCACCTGAGAAATCAAGCTGAAAACTGCCCATCGTTATGGTGAATTCACAAAGGAAAACATAAGCCTGTTGTAAAGGACAGATGGTTCTCAGCTTCACCCTCTTAAACGTTGCTTTGTGTGTAAGACATAGGGCTCCTAATTACCTGCACTATCATCCTTCTTTAAATACCCTGGTTAGGGATCGTTCTCTGTTGAGTGAGGAATAATCCTTTTTATCACATTGTGCTTAGGGAAGCATCTGGTGCAGACACCTGTATGTGCAGCTGGTTTTTCAGGATGTGAGCATCTCACTGTTTTTCATTATGTTGGCAGGGAACATTATTATGGTTTAACATCTTTGTAATTGAGCAAAGCACACATTCTGGGTTATGTTTCTTGTTTCCTTCTGTTAGTTCAAATCATCCACCAAATGGTAAAGCTACGGGTTGTTAAGATATAAGTACAAACCCATAATGATAAAGAAAGACTATTTAGAAGTGTGTCATGCTCTGGGGTAACCATGGGCTGAAGGGCCTGGTGAAATTGCCCTTTATAAGCAAGAACAGATCTTGAAGGTCTGTTAGGTTTCTCCAAGATGACAATTGCTGTAGTTTTCACAGAAGATCTGGAGTGAAATATTTTGAGTTCTCCTGTTAATATTGCCTTCCATTTCCAAGTTATATATTCATATGCATTCTTCTATACAATTTTAAAATTATAATACCTAAATCACAGTTCTGATTCTGTGAAATCTAATGTTTATTTGCATCTTAATTCTCATCCTCCCTATGTTAAGCATGTGCTGGACAGGGAGAGAGGATTTTAATTCTATGAAATTTACTGCTATTAAATGACGAGGTTTTGATCTTAAAGGAGACATATAAGATGCATCTGTATTAGGGAAAACGGTGTTGAGGAGTGTTCTGAGGCCCTGAAACCTGATCACCATATTGCTAAGTTGTCAGCCTGCTCTCTGCTTAGTTCAAGGCCAATTGTCATTCTCTCAGGTCATTGCTGGACGTGAAACAGGAGTTGGCAGAGGCCAGCTGCCATTCCTGGTGGTAGTTTGCATTGGCCACCTTGTATTGGAGAGGAAGAGATAAATGGTAGGGATGCAGACTGTCCCATGGATGTTGACCTCTGTGCAGTAGAAGGACCTCAGGCACATACAATGTATTGGTAGATGTGCAGCCAACTTGGTGTACAGTTTCCAAGACACTTTGTCCATCTTTGTTTTTAGTCTCAGCACTTCAAAGGAATCTGCTATAGAGCCCTGAGCACCCCTCCAGTGAAAACTGAACCCTTTTACTCTGTACCTTTTTGGCATGTCCATGAGAACAGCAAGTTTTGTGAAAAACGTCACCTAACAACGGCCACTGCATCACTTCTGAGATCAGTTTGATCTCATTTAAGGGTCTGTGAAACATGATCTGTGTGTCCCTTATTCCCAGGCTGTATTTGGCATCAACAGGCATGTATGCAAAAGAAATAAAGGATCTGTTTTGATTTTAATAGAAACTGATTAGAAACCTAAATAATGTACTAGTTCTGCTCCTCAGATTTCATTTGATTCTCAGATCATATTTGGCCTAGTACCCCATATATTTACATGACCAAATATATATGAAGTAGCATTTGCTGCTTTGTTTTAATGCAGACTATGCAGGCTAGCATTACCAATCTGATCTGTTAGTGCTCAGAAATTCACATGCATAAAGTTTTCTCCATTTGGTGTAAACAAAGCAGTGTCAAAACATAAAGAGTTTTCCAGTTATTATTTTAACACTTGATTTATTTTAATAGGATTTTTTGATTGTTGTTTTGGTTACAGAAGTAAGAAAAATGCTTTATAATATTTTTTTCTCTTGTCTTCAAACTAAAGGCCACATTCCCTGATTGTTAGCAGCTCTCTGGACAAAAGTATCTCACCACAATCATATACTTACTTACTTAAAAAAATTCAGTTAAGAATTTTTATTTAGTCATAAACTTGTGACAAGACTAAAGGCTTATTCTTGGATGATGTCAGGACTAGGGAATAGCTTTAACAAGTCCTAAAATTAGAAATACTTGGTGGATTTTAAACACAGACACTGCGGATCTCTGAGGAATGTTTGTAGGCAGTAGGATAACCTCGCAGCAAAGAGAGCAACAGATTATATTATTTATTTCAGATATCTATCTGTTTCTGCTTCCGGCTTGGGTTTCATTTTTTATCCTTAGTTAGAACAGCCCTGAGGCAGATAACAACAATTTGATGTAATCTCTGCCTATTTTTCACAGAGTTTTAGAACATGTCATATATATATAAGTATAAATGAATCACTAACGATTTTGCTCCTATCCAACTCTGCCCGTACCAAATTGAGTTTAAGAGGCAGTATTGCTGAATACCAATTCTGATAACAGGGATATGTGATAAATGATATTTAAATGGTATGTTTTCTTAATTTGGCAATCGGTAATCTACAGAGATAAGGATTAGGGTAAGGAAATAAGTTACAGTGTTTTAGCATAGCTGAAACTTAGAATCACAGAATAGACAAAGTGGGACAGCATCTCAGGAGTTGACATAATCCACCCACCCAGCTCAAGGCGGGATCACCAATAACAGGTTGCTCTGGACCATGTCTAGTCAGGTTTTGCATATATTCAAGGATGAAGGACACACAACCTCTCTGGACAGCCTCCTCCAAACAAAGGAGGGTTTTTTGTTTTCTTTTAATCATTTGAATAGGTTTTCCTATGTTACAAGTTGAGTCCAGTACCTCTCTCCTTTGAAAGAAGACTCTGGCTCCATCTTTTTACTCCCTTCCATCATGTATTTATTATACACATCGATATACACATAGATAGATCAATCCCTGAATACCTCCTGCATGAACCTTAAAGATGAAAAGTGTGTTGATTAAATATATATATATATAACTCCATTCCATCTATAGAATCTGATCTCACACCTCTGCAGTGCTGATGCAGCTCTATTGAGTTAAATGCATTTCTTTCTATTTACACCGTGGAAGTGAGATACTGGTATCAGGTGTGTCTCGATAATAACCACATGAAGTCTGAAATTTAATTCTACGTACGTTCAATGAGGTTTGCTGTTAACCATTTCAAACTGGCAGAAAAGGACAGAAAAGGAAGGAGAAAACACACATGCACATTTTCAAAATCCTCAAATGAGATGCCTTGTATAAACTATAAACTACAGCATACACCTCCTTCATGGTAATACGACAAGTAGATGTTTCACCCTTTGCAGCAATGGTAAATATACTCAAAAAGGTTTGCTAGCCATTGCTGCATTTTAGAAACTCTGAAAGTATGAATATTCAGCCCTAAGCTCATCCTAGACTCTTAGGAAAAAAGCAGGTCATACCAAATAAAGTATATTCTTTAAAGTAATTCCTTTTCCATTGCTGTAATATGTTGTAGCTGATCTCATTGTCATAGTAATTTGGCTGTTACAAATATAAAACATCTCTATATCACTGGGTGTTAGGTTATTTAATACTGTTCTTAGCAAGAACACAGGTCGATATAAAAAAGAAAACAGCCATAGTCTATAATTCTGTTGAACTTCTAGAAAAACATTTATATTCTTTTAGAGAGTCATATGGTACATTCAGGTGTGTTTAAAGAAAAACTCTTCATCCTATAATTTAAATTTTTGAAAGCACCAATATATCTGCTTGATAATATCAGAACTCCTCAGAGATACTGTTGTAAACAGTTTCAACCATCAATTAAACATTATCTAACTTTTCCCACATGTTTGTTTGTATTTATCTTCTGTTGTTCATTCTGAAGTTTTACCTTGAACTGAAAAAGGCTTTATAGGTTTTGAAAGATCTCTGCCTGTGAAATGGCTTGTCTACAAATGAAGAAAGCAAAGAGAAAGAAAAAGTTCAGTGTTTTTCACCATAGAAATGTCAAGGGGATGGTACCTAGAGAAAGGGATCATCTTTATAAGAAGAATGGGGTTTTGTTGTTGTTTGTTGTTGTGTTGTGGATTTTGAGGGGGGTTTTGTTTGTTGTTTTTGGGGTTTTTGTGGGGTGTTGTTTATTTTTTGGGAGGGTTTTTTGATTGATTTTGGTTTTGTTGTGGGATTGTTTGTTTTTTTTTTTACAAATAAACCTGGGGAGCAGGAACACATGTAGATAGATACATTCTTGTAATTAACAAGACTACACATGCCTCTGAGCTGTCTTTTTGGAAATAGCATGCATGAAGCCTTTGGCTATCAGAGGAAATTAATCACGTGGGACATTCTTGCAATAACATCTGTCTGCAATGACAGCTTTACAAGTTAAATAAATAAACACTTGCTGGCATAGCCATACTGTTCTCTAGAAGGGGAGTAGCAAGATGAGACCACAAATCTGCATGGAATGTTTCTGCTGTCCATTGCCAAACAAGTTCCCAAGTTCAGACAGGTTTCACCATGTCCTTAACGATAGTTTTTAATTGTAACTACTCTCAATGGTCTAGCAAGAAGTTAAAATTTTATCTCAGGAATATAAATTCTCAGGGGGTTGCAAACAGTGGGCAATAAATTACTGCAAACATCCATGTACTCTTCTTTGAAAGGTTCTGGGATGGCTGCCAGCAAGTTTCAGTGCACCAGATAGAAAGTGCAGGCATCACAAATGCTGAATACCTGCTCATTCATGGGAAATTTGAATATTCTAGGTACCTTCTCAAATACCTGCTAATTTAAATTATTCCCCATGCTTAAAAACCAGGATATTTCTTCCACTCATCTTCAGCCAGGAGACAATTTGTCTGTTGCATGCAAACTACACACATCCA